TTAGTAGTATAAGCGCTATTGCTAGTGGCAGCATTAATATAAATATTAGTGGTAGTAGTAGTAGACTAGTGGTAGTAGTTGTAGTAATCATACTGGTGATAGTAGCAATAGTAGTACTACTGGTATTAATATTATTAGTAGAAGCATTGGTATTGGTATTGTTAATGGTGGTAGTAGTAGTAGCAGAAATAGTGTTACTAGTATTAGTAGTATTACTGTTAGTGGCAGTAGTATAGCACTAGTAGTAGTAGTAGTCATATTTACACTGGTATTAGTGTTAGTATTGCTAGTGGTAGAAGTAATATGAGTAGTATCAGTAGTAGTAGGAGTAGTAGTAGAACTAGCGGTGTACTGGTGGTATCATTAGTAGTGTTACTAGTGTAACAGTATTAGTAGTATCAGTAATAGCATTAATGATAATAGTAGTACTAGTGGTATTAGTGTGCGTCGGTGGCATAGCGGTTAGGACGCTCGCCGACCATGCACATGGTCCGGGGTTCGATCCCCGGCCGGCGCACTCCTTTACCTCGCTAAGCCAGAAATAATGCTGGTGAAGAGGAAAGGTTGGGCATGAGGCTAGCAACCCCATCCTGTAAAAATAAACACTGCTACAGAAACTTCAAGCCTCTAGCTTGAAGCCCTATGTTCCACTGGGAACGTGAAGGAATAAAAAAAAGTGGTATTAGTGGTAGTGTTAAAAGCGTTATGAGTAGTAGTAATAATACTTGTGGTAGTATTGATAACAGTAGTTATAGTATTTAAACTAGTGTTAATAGTTTTAGTAGTAGTACTACTATTGGTAGTTGTAGAAGGATTAGCGATAGAAGTAGTAATATTGCTGGTGGTAGCAGTATTAATAGTAGTGGTATTAGTTTTAGTACTATTAGCAATATTACTACTGCCATTACTATCGGTAGTGTTATTAGGGTTCCTAGTTGCTGCACTAGAATAAGTAGTAGTAGTGGTAGTATTATTAGTGCAGTAATACTCGTGTTAGTAGTAGTAGTACTGGTGAAAGTAATAGTAGTAATCATAGGAGTACTAGTGGTAGTATTACTGGTAATAGTAGTACTGTTACTAGTAGTATTTTTACTAGTGGTAGTGGTAGTAGTAGTAGTAATAGGGTTATTAGTAGTGTTAGTAGTATTTTTTATCCACTGACTTGTCTACTTTCAGAAAAGACTGCGATTACGCTCCATTCACAGTGGCGAGGAATGATATAAATCCACAGTACCCGTTGTATATACTCAGTGGAGGTAGGAGTCAACGAAGTAATGCGTTTAAAGCATACGTATACTCTTCATGATCACTTTGCGGAATATGTTAAAATCTTAGAATAATCTAACCCCACACGAAATGGAATTAACAAAATCCGCATGGCAAACAAGCTGTAGTACACATCTGGATATTCATCCATATGCTGATCATGATGACAGTCCCAAATCGCTGCTTATTCAGCGCCAATAAACCTGGATATCTGGGAAGTAATAAAGATATGCTAACAGATGCATTTCGAATCCCACTGACTCACTCAATGGTTGGTTCGCAGTCATTCAGATTACTGACAGCGAAGGATCAAAAATCCACCGATTGCTGATTCATGAATGCTTCTCCGCATGTTTAACTGGATACTAACTGCTGTGGGGAGCCTGTTGCAGATTATATTGCTGAAAACATTGTTGACGGTAAACTATCTAACGTTTTACAAGCGATTTTTATGCTTTTGCGAATGGCACACCATATCGAAAATAGATATAGAGAGATTTTGATTGTGTAGTTGGCTTCCTTCAGTTGCTACGCGCATTTTCGACAAATTCAAACAATAATGGTGCCTAGGATTATATCGTATAAATTGTGCGTCGGTGGCATAGTGGTTAGGACTCTCGCCGACCGTGCACATGGTCCGGGGTTCGATCCCCTGCCGATGCACACCCGATATCTATGGTCGGCCTGCGAAATTTGGGCTACCGATATCCATGCTGAAAATTCCATACTTGTACTGAAAATACAGTGTGGCATCAAGCTGTAACCAAAAAAATAAATTATTCCATTACCTTTCCTTGTATATGTATCCTGTATCAGTAAGAAATTGTAAACATGCTTACTCTATGCATGCATTGTTATCATATTGATGATGCCTGTCAACTGGAGTCCCTCATGTGAATAAAGTGAGAATACATCATTATAAGATTCATTTCATTGTTATATGTGGGAAATGACTTCAGGCTTTATTTTTCCCAAGTATTTGTAATCCATCCAACGCAGACTTGGGTCTTTTTGCTAATGTGAAGCCAATATTTCAATATTTCTTGATGTGCTCCATTGAATGACCAGTTAGCAGATTTTTCCCACAAACTGAAGACAAAAAAGACAGCAACCATGTAATTTCACCATAAACCAAATTTGTGTAATTCAAATAATACTTATCAATGACTGTAAAACTGGTGTGTCCTACATAGGTGGGAATAAATATATATTTCATTGTATTATTATTATCAAATATGCTCACTAATCGTATGTGTAATTCATCATATTGATAATGCCTGTGAACTGGCGTCCCTCATGTACAAAATGAGAATATATTCTTATTATTTGTAGTGGTATAAGAAGTAGTTCTAGTGGTAGTGTGGCGAGGGCTGGCTGCTAGCCAAATTGGTAGACAGTAATTTGCGTCCACGTTTACGTCCCCAATATTCGTCATGAGAAAAATAAGAACAAGGAATGATTCAACAAGCAATCACAGCAGACGTTGTGTAGGCGGATACGATTTGCAGATAGATAATCTGAACTTCAAAAACCGGCCACAAAGGGATGAAAGATTAACATTCAACGAGAAACCACCAGTCAGAAAACTGTGTTTGTTTGCTTACAATAATCCATAATAATGTACATGGAAATCTATAAATATCGGTTGATTTCCTAAATAAACGATCTGTTGCTTGGCCCTTGTCTTCTGTCGTTACATTTGGTATCGCTGCCTATTGAAAAATGGAAATGCCAGGCCCTGCAGTTTTTGATGGAGACATATGGATCTTCAGGCAGGACTTCGAGGCTTCTGCTCAGTTGAGTGGCGTTCAAGATCTGTCAGCGATGAGGTTGTTACTTGGAACGCTTCTGGAAGGTCGGGCAAAAGCACATATGGAAGCGTGAGACAAAACACCGACGAATGGGCGCCAGGATTAGGCAAACAGATTCCAAAGTGAGAAGGGCCATACATGGTCACTGTGCGACGGGTCACGTAGAAACGACCGCAAATGCAAACGAAGACAATGAGCCTTAGCTGAAAGCTGTAAACGGACAGCGCCGTACGTATATCTGCTGGTAATGAATTCCAAGGACGTCAAACCCCGAGTGAAAATAAATAGGAGCGCACTCGAGTCTTTGCCTGCTGGTGACCTATTCTTCGGGGATTTCCACGAGGAAGCTATACTTAATTGTTGGCAGAATGCATTTGTTTGTGTGATTCTGGTTATTTGTTATCTTAACTCTTGACTTCCTACCAACTTTGAAAAGGGAGTGAAGTTTACGCGACCTTGTTTAATTTTGGCTCCAGAATTCAGTATTTTAACTTTAAATCAGTTTATTCTGATGAAAGCTGGCTCACGTGTGAGTTTTGAGTCTGCTTAATTTTCCAAAAGTTGTGTACTAATAAGTTAATAGTTATGTACTGATTTCCAGTTGAAGAAGTAATGCAGTGTGATAACTGCAAGAGACGGTTTCATAGCATGTGCACAAAACTAACTCCTTCAAAATACAAGCGCTTCTGCAAATCTCTGGCGAACTGGTTGTGCGATGGCTGCTGTGGTACGACTAAGTTTCCTGTAACGAAAGCCATTTCCACTCTCTGTGGGGTCTAAAGTTCATGGACTGCAAGGGTCTTCCAACACAGGAGAAGACCGACTACTGCTCAGACAACGATGACGTGACCATCGTCACCGACAAAGCATTACACGTTTCTGATGTGTCTCTATCAAGGAGTGAGTGCTCTTCTGCACAGAGTAAATACAGCCTGCCTTCGTGACATTTTTCTTACTAATATGTATTACTACTAAACACAGATGACTGAATACACTGTGCAATTATCAGATATGACCAAAACTGTAAAATCAGTGAGCTTGATCATGTTTTTTAATTTATGTCAATTAGTCGTTATGTCTACTAATTTTTTCTGCATCCCTTTCTTTTCTACCTTAAATATTCTTAGCATTTTGTGCGTTCATTTTTTCCCTATGAAATATATTCCTATTGTGCTGCCTTAGTTTTGTTCGTGTGTCTTTTGCCGGCTTACTCTTGAGCCTTTTATGGGGAACCACTGAACAGCTTGGTAATCGGCAATTCGCCTTTATGCCTCAGTCCTTGGAGAAATTTTTTAGGTTGAGGTTGTTAACGTTCAAGTACAGTACGAAGTATATTAACTAAAGATCTAGTACATACATCTTCTTTCAATTTCGTTCCGCATAGACCGAAGGAAAAGCAAATCACCAAAATTGATTATTCAATTTACGGGATATATTTGGGGACCAAGGCGGAGAGCTAGGTTGATTGCTTAATTGGCTAGGGATGATGCACGAACGAACCAACATAGCGTGGATGCTTGACCGTGAGCCTTCAGTTGAACAAGTCGACTTAAATAGTGAGTGTCAGCATCCGATGTTCATTGATGAATGATGTGGTAGTAATTCTGTGAAATTACCTAACGCTACAAAAGAATATATTTCATCGAAAATGGGTGATGTCCCTACTTTTATCCCATGCGTTGGCATTCTCCGAGACAGGTTCCGTTGATGTTTTGTATAGCCGTCTCAAAACAGTAAAACAGTCAAGATGATATTGGACATTGGAAGATTGAACATTCGTGGAGAATATAGGAAGTAGACGTTACTTCCTTCTCTGTGGGTAAGATTAGTACTCATCTTTTGGCTAAAAGCAGAAAGGTATTTGCATATGATACGTCACAGTGTCTGTTTAGCTCCATATTGACTGAGCTGGTTTAAGACATAAGCACCACATTTTGCGTGTATACCATAACTTTTTGAATTATTCTCAGTAAATGCATGTCTTTTTTGATGCTGCGTCTAGCAACCTGCAGAGACGTTCATTGACTTGATCTTGCTTGAGTGAGGATTATTTTATTGGTGATTACATCGAAGCCCAAATAAAAACAACTTGGGCAACTCAACCCAAAATTTTGGAGTAGCTACTCCCTAGGGAATCATCTTTCTTCAAAAAGACTGCAAATCGCCTCCAAATTATGTATTTGGGAGGTGTAACTAAGTTATGGGCCCTGTTTGGATAATTTTGCAGTAAGTGTCACCCATACACTTGTGAATGTGAGCCGTCACATCTGTTCGCACCGTATGCATCTGTTTCTACTATTGGGTTGTCTGCGTAGAAAAGCATCTAAGATTTTGTGACCTTATATAGTTCTTTTATATTCAGAACAAGCGTAAAGGTGCGAAGTACAGTATTTAAGGTACATCTCTACACGGCTTTTTCGAATGTGTTTTGAAATGATCCTGACTCGATACTATCTCCCTTGATCCAGTTGAATAAGCCATTTTTTGATTCCAAAAGTGTCTAGTTTTATCAACAATCTGTGCATGTAGCGCTTTGTCAGAAGCCTACTGCAATCTAACGATCTCGACGGGTTTCTTGTTATCCCTAGATGCCACGTAATTTCTATGTACCGTAATGTTTGTCAGACACACGGAGTTTCCCTGTACACTGTACTTTGAGGTCAGTAACAAGTTGTTTTCCAAGATCTGGACTCCATCCTCACCGAAAAGCGTTGGGTGGATGTCATCGCGCTGAATATATTTCCGTGTTCTGTTTGCTTCGATATGGTGAAAATTTTTATGGTGTATGTTTTCAGGACCTATCCTGTTTGCCTGTGTCTCGGGGAAAGCTGATACTGGCGAGTACTGTGTTAGGATTCTAGAGAATTAATTAACGATAGCGTTTGTTGTTTTCTGGTGTGACTTGACTGTGTTGTGGAGGCGTCGCTCCCTGGTTCAAGCACTCGGTTTTCACTCAGGGAGTCCAGGGTTCGAATCCCTCTCCAGTTACTTCAATGGAAGCAACTGGGTAGTGTCAACAGCACCCACACTATGAGTATGCCTCATGGCCTGAAACACGAAAGCCATGTTTCAGAAACTAAATTCAAACAAGAAGTTGGTTATGTTTGGTCACTAAGATGGTCGGGGATTCCTTAGAACGTCCTGTTCCTGAGGTTCGTGTATGAAAATAATTTCTTAGGGTGTTCTGTTGCAGTTTGAGCTCTACTAATTTTCAGTCCCATATGTGATTGAAGAATTCCTGCAATAGCTTTTATTCTGGTTTCAATGTTCCGACGATAATGAACACGTTTGCACCTATTTGTACCACTAGTTTTCTATTTTATCCATGGGGTTTTTACTGTTGAGGACAGTTCAGGGAATGTCAGGTCAAGTTACCCTGCTATTAGTTGCTCGAATTAACTGCAAGCAGCTACTACTTGAGCTTCTAGACTTATAACCCAGTCTATTGACAAGGCGAGATGAATGATAACATTTATACACACTCCACACGTTTTGTAGAGCTGTGGTTTTGACAGCAGTAGACTTAGAGCTGGCCATGGTGATCACTTTATCTCTGGAGATAGGTGTTGCATAAAGTTCACATCCTCATACTAGCAGAATGTCAAGTCTGCGGTTGAAGAAGAGTGCTGAGAATGATAATATTGATTTCTTAATGTGCTATATGAGAACCATGGAAGTGTAAGATTCCAACAACTTATGGTTGAAGACATTGTTTGATAGTAAAGTTGTTGAATTCCAGTAGTCGACTGATGGATCCTTGAAATCAACCACTCTAAGGTTGTGATACTTAATGTCTATGATCGTAATTTTCCCATGAGAAAGTCCTCTCGTACAGTCGGGAACGCATTCAAATTGATATTTTCCCTCTTACATTATAGTCAGCAGCTTGTAATTGCAAGTGCTCCTATGCTATGCAAAGCTAGGTTTTTTCATAGGTGCATGATTACTCCACCACATCTGTAGTTCAATGTCCTGTTCACAGTGAAGTTTTGCAGGTTTACTTCTCTGTAGCTGACTTCGTATACCAGCCATGACTTTATAACGGCTGTAGCATTCAAGTTTCTCAAGCTAGCCAGACTACCCATCTCACTACATTTGTCCAACGGATGTCATATTGTTAGTGCAGCTTAGTGCTACCGCGCTCTATCTGCAGAGGCGTAAAGGTCACCAGGCCTCGAATTTTCATCACTTGTAATCATTTAATAGTGTTTTTCTTGCTCTCTGTGCACCATTCATTTAATTCCTTTTCAATAGACTGTTTTTTGACACGATCTGCTAAGCAAGGCTCTGCGCAGATTTCGTAAGAATGTGAGCATTACTCAGAAAGGCGCTTTTCTCAGTTTTCGAGTCAACCGTCACTTTAAGATTGACGAGTCAACTAATGGATGGCCTACAAATTCAGGGTTTTAACTGACTGCAGATAACAGATGGTAGCTTGTCTGTAATAGGGTTGATAAAACAATGGTTATATTTTCGAACGTGGCCTCATAGTCTAATTCGTCGCATTCCTTGACTTTATGAAAAATAATCAACCTATCGGAGAGACTAGATTCACTATAGGTGGTGTTGTTCTTGTATTGTGGCATAAGTTTCGTGTAGCTTTGATTTTGTCACTTGTCGGTAGTCGTCTTCACTTTCTATTTTTTTAGTTTATCACCCCCCCCCCAGATAATCTTTTTCTGTTGAATACTGGTGCTTGTCTGTTTATTTGGCTGTTGAAAAGACCGAACTAAAGACAGAGAAGTAAGGAGTTAGCTCGTATGATTAAAACGTAAAATAAAGTTGTAGTTTATCCATGGAGGAGTATGAAGAAACGACACAAATCTGTTCCAACGCTAATACAATGTGACTGACTGACTGGTTTCGAAGTAGAACTTTGCACTTATGTGCAGCAGTTCAAGTCGCCACACTACACTTAATACACAAAGCAATAGAAGGAAGTAAAAAGAAATGCAAAACAGAGAGAGAGAGAGATAATAAACAGAAATATGAGGTAAAAAGAATGGTAATATGGAAGAACAAAATAGTTTTATTGGATATTATAAGTCACAATGAGTGGATGCATCTGCGCTAGCCAGCCATCCCCGAGAACGATCACTTTGAGCCAGCCATATCACCAATTGTTTCCAGCCTTCATTGGTTTTTACCGTCTCGAGGACACCAACCAGACACTTAGGAAGTCTACATCTCCCGGTATGGCTGGCTGGCTTAAACTAACTGTTGTGGATTTCATTGACTGATGAAGCCATATTGGTTTTGGTCTGACCGCCTCCACTGGCTCTTTTCCAACCTGATTCATCCAATGTCAGTCATCTAACATTGCCCATTGTCGAGAAAGGCGATGGCTGGGCATACTTAACGCGTGTCCTAAGTATCTCTCTCAATAAATGCGGCTGCTTCACCGCCTCGCCTATTTATGTCCCTATTATACCTCCATCTAACACAGGAGATAAAATGCAGCCACCTATGATCAAAGGCAGCTATATTAACATGAGACAATAATTTCTTCAGTCAATCGCTACACTAACATTACATTATACTCGTACTAACTATTTACCATAATATCTGTTGTTTTCATTATGAATATTTTTGTTTTTTGAATGAAGGAAAATTTTTATATAGATACATCAATAAGAAATAATCACAATGGGTAAGAAAAAAGGCTACAAGAGAGGCAGCAGCAGTAGTAGTAGCAGTTCCAGCAGTAGTTCTGGCGGTGGACACAATCCTCATCGAATAGAAAAACGTCGTATGAAGTTAAGAAAAAAAATGATGAAAGTAGGTAACTAACTATGCACTATAATCTACTTCATATATTTAACTAGAAAAATCACTGCGTCTGTGGATATTGTCCTGCTGGTGTTATGGCCTGTGATCAAAACTTCGTAATGAAATATCAGGTAGTCAATGTGGATTTTTGACACTTACATAAAGAATAACTTTTACGCATACACATAAACACACATCCCTAGGAAACCTGGTAAATTTTAATGTTTTCAAGTATTGGTTTTATAGTAATTTTGTCTGATTGGTTGGAGGATTTCATCATGAGCACTGACCATTGGAAAACCTGCCACAGGGAGTACTGCCAGACAGCTGTTTCGTCAGCCTAGTTTGAGACTGGCTCTTTGTCAGTACGCACCCACCCCACTGGGGTTCAAACCCAGGACCTTCTGGTTACAATGTAAGCGAGCTCTTAGACCATTAATCAACCACTGGGACCCGATCCAATGGCTAGCCCATCAATGCTAACTTCTGCCAATTCACTCACGCGCGACCACTTCGCAATGTCTTCTTCGATGAGTTGCTGAGGCAGCAACTAGAACTCTAGGTAACTGCCTGAATACGGCCAGTGGTTAGTGAGCATCAGATCAATTTTCAAGTATTGGTTTTGTAGGGATTTTGTTTGATTGGTTGGAGGATTTCATCATGATGAGCTGACATCAGTTCCAATGATTCTCTAATTCAAGTGTTGGTTTGTAGGGATTTGATTGGTTACAGGATTTTCATCATGAGCTGACATTAGTTAGAGAACCATTGGAAAACCTGGAAGTACTGGACAGCTGTTTCGTCCTAGTTTGAGACCCTCCAGCGGTACGCACCCACAGGGATTCTCTAATTGATGTCAGCTCATGATGAAATCTAACAACCAAAATTTTGATGTAGCCAACTGAAACTTAGTAATACTCTGATCTACTTGTTTATACTGAACTCGATTCAAGCTTCTGGAGGTAGAGTACAGCAGACATATGTTTTGTGAATTAGTCAGAGGCTGGGACATGGGTGCATTCTCAAGCTAGCAAATGTTGGTTGAAATCACAATTATTTGATGTTCCCTTCATCAAAGTATTCTGTCGAAAAAGCAGACTTGTAACTTTAGATCTCCCTGAATCACAAAATAGACTTATTTGGAAGAGATATACACATAGAGACGGTTTTAATAGGTCCCGCTGTTCTAGTTCCCTACACATTTCTGTCTGAACTTCAAGTCAACAAACCTCAGGTAGGACACAAAGTTAGAGAAAATGGAGAGAGAGAGAGAGGGAGATGGAAATAAGAGATTCATTCTCAAATGTGTGTTGGTAAACCGAATTTCTAGTGAATTTGATTAAACTAGTTCACTAATGAGTACAGCAATAAAAATAATTAACAGATTTTCCTAAACGCTACCGTTGTATGCAGAGTAGAAGTGCTTAAACAACTACTTATAGAGTTGACTAGAATGCTTATCCTGATGAAGTCTGACTCAGAATCCAATTTCTTACTAAGAAATCAGTTAGAAAGAGTGAGCTAACATTTTTTTCATTGGAAAATGTTAACTTTGTGAAGGATGTTTGAAAGACAACTGAAATCTCCAATTGGTGGTGGTGATGTATGCTCAATTTGTTAACTGTGGTGTTGTAAGTCTCTATTTGACTGGTTTTCTGAGTTATCCAATGGAGTTAATGTTACACCTTTTTACTGGGATCCGATGAAAAGTATGGTGAGGTGTGTGTGTGTGTGCGTTTCAACATGTTATATTACGGCCTATCTGGAAAGGGAATTGATTTTCACTACATTTGAATATTTCTGTATCTCACGTTTTTCTTCAGTAGTGTGTTGCGTTTCGGTTCTTCTTTATCAATTAATGTATTCGGAGTTTTGTTTGTGACGTATATTTATGTACCCCTGATAGCGTATATTTTTTTAATGTTCAAGCCTACAAAATTCAACTTTTTACATTTAATTTATCATGATATGGTGTATTTACTATACTATACTATCTGTCCAAACCAATTCACTTTTAACAGTTTGAAAAAATCTGGGCATTCGGTGGTTGTGGTGGTGGTATATGATATTCATCATAATAGAGGTTATTTTTTGTATTTCCCAGTGAGTGAAAAACAAAAAAGGATATTGTTGTCGTTGTTTTTTACTGACGGCGTTTCTCTATTTAATGCTGCTGCTAATAGCTTTATAAAAGTAGTTATATTAAACCAGAACAATTTACAAAATCCACTCAGCTTATGTTTATATAACAACGTAATCATACTTCATCGGTATGCAGTAATTTTCACGTTGCTGTCAAGTTGGCTAATTAGTAAAGATAACAAAAGCTGGTGTAGATTGTTCGATATGATAAGTGTATAAAATTATACAAAAGCAGCGTGTGTTTACATAGTGAAGTTGCTTATCACATTCGTGTTGATTTTGTGATTTCACGTGGGAGCAGCGTGTTGTAACCAGGTCAAATTCACTTCAGACAATTTGGATTCCATTTGATGTGGAGTGCTTCTGATGATATCAGACATTCTTTGTAATTTCTGAAACTATTTCTGGATGATGATTTCAGTATTATCAAACTGTATTTTGTGACTCGATTCCTATAAGTAGGAAAAGAAACCTCATCAAATCTATTCTCACAAAAACTTCTCGCATATACACGAAAAACGCACTGAACAGAGAGGGATACAGAGAGAGAAATGTAGTCCTTTGGAAACACTGATTTTGGAATACTGACAGAGTGGAATTCATCAATGTACATATGAAAGGTAAGATAATCCTCAGAAGTACTGGATAAAGTTACCTACAAACCTGAAATACAAAGGTATAACAACAGATGACATTCTTCAAAACAGATTTCTATTTTCCACATGTCATCGTGTCTAGGCAACTTCGTAGCAAAATGTCAAAGACAATGTTCCACTGTTGACAATATATATATATATATATATATATATATATATATATAAATCCACTTTCTCCTGTAGAGTTAACAATATAGGTTATACTAGTAGGATATTATCGAGGTGTACAAAAGAACATCTGCCAATATGGCTATCAAAAGGAGAAATTAGACAACCATTGGGTTAATTCTTGAGCACCTTCTTCATGCATATTTTGTATCATTAGAGAAATCTTTCAAAGTGATCTATGAAGTAAGGCTAAGCCGCCGTTCAAAGAGTTTCAGTGGACAACTGTCCACAGTGGAATGTCTTCTAATACATAAGGAAAACTGTAAATTGTGTATATTAAAAGTGGTTAGTTCAATCTTTCTTTACTGATGTAGCCTGAAATCCCTTTTGACTTTTAAAACAGTTTGTTGTGTAATCCATGTTCATTCGTCTTCCTTCATTCTTTTCAGACTACTAAGTTTGAAGTATAGTATACCTCATACACATATTCAATGTCTTTTGTGAACAGTATTCCTACCTCTAAGAACTTACAATGGTAATGATTACTAAAGCTAATTTCGGAATGCACACTAGTCAGTAACTAGTGTAATGTGTCTAGTCCTATCTTTCTGCCGATTGCCTCCAACCATTGAATACCAACAAAGTTAATTTCATTAAGAACTGACCTCATTGTAAACTAATACCGATGATGTGGTGTAAACTTAAAAGGACTATTAGTGAACGATTATCAATTAGTTGTAATAAATTTAGTGAAGTGAAATGAACACGATTGTCATGAGGTCATAAAAGGCCAGAAATGAACGTTTGTCAATGAAACAAAGGAACAGACAGGAAAATTGCGATAGGAATTTAAAATGCTAATGTTTATGCAGGATTCGTTGGTCTTACTGTAGGCCATGGTAAACATAGCGGTTGAGCATACTTCTTCTTTATACAAAGATCCGGTCTTCTGGTATTGATTACTACCGCTTCAGCGACTGGTAGAAGATAGAGTCGAGCTCCTCTAGATAGATTACCAGGAACGCGGTGAATAACTGAGAACGCCGCCTACTCAGGTTTTATCGAGTGTCCAGTATCTACTAACTAGGGGCTAAGACTGCACTATTTACGCATTTGGTTAACCCTGTATTCAACCCTACAGACACATACATTTTCACGCACGCATGCATGGATAAAGCCCCCTGAGTATGGCGAATGTAACTAGTCCCACATGAACAGTTGAATTGATAGATATGCATTAATGAGGCCATCTTTGGTAATTTATCCTTGGCTAGTTGTGTGATTACTGGTTTAGTTGAGAAGCTGAGTACCAGTTTAGCTGTAGGAAACGTTCTCCCTACTGCTCTGTTAAATCGACATTGTAGAATGTCAGCCGCAATCTCCTCTTTGTAACTTAAGATACAGGGTTTGTTATCTACGGTATCTATGGTTACCCTATTTCTAGTTATCGACATATACTTTTTTAGGAATGTTCTTTAGATATCCATAACTAAGACAGTAAGTTTCTTTTTTATTGAATCAGTGTGGAGCTATGAAAATGGGTGTACTGACCCGTTCAAGTCTTCTTTCGAAATAGGTTCCTTTGTAGATATCTGTCTGTCTTCTTGGTGAGGAGGACGTCTAGGAAAGGCATACTGTTATTTTCTTATTCTTCGCATGTAAACTGAATAGCTGGGTGAAGACTACTAACAGCATTCAGAAGCTCTTGTTTATTAAGAATTCCAATCAAAAACGATGAAGGAAGGTATCATCTACGTGTCGAAAATCATATTCAAGCCCCTTAATCGTGTCTTTGAATGGACCATTTTCAAGCTTTGCCAGGAGAATATCCGCTAGCATAGCGCCCAGAGGTGATCCTATGGCAACACCTTCAACTTGTCTATAAAAATAATTGTTGAACATAAACTGGACATTCATAGTGCATTTCAATAGTAATTCCTTGACTTTATCCGGTAGGATTCCTACATTTGTCTTTCGTTCGGTCAGTTGGTCACATAAGTAGTTGACTATTTCGAGCAGTTGGACGTCGGTGAATAACAATGCTACATCCAGTGACATTATTTTACATTCAGGCTTTTGGCAGTTTCTACAAAGCTAAATGCGTCTTTACACTGAATTTCACTAATTCATGATGTAACAGTTCCAATGCCTTTGCCAACCACTTTCCTGTAGAATGATAGGCAGATTGACACATATCTAGCTAGGATGACACGTAGTGGTACTCCAAACTTGTGGACTTTCGGCGAACCATAAAGTCTTACTGTGTGCGTGCCCGAGGCTTTCCATTCGTCGAGTGTACACTTAGGAATCAGTTACTCTCAACTAGTGATTTTAGTATCTTAGCCATTTGGCGTTCAGTTGCCTCAGTTGTGTCTTTACAACTATTCAGTTTTTGAAATTTCCTTTGGTCACTTAGAATGAGATTCATTTTGTCTATATAATCATTCTTATTGATGATAATTGTACCAGATCCTTTATCAGGTCTAGTTATTATCAGATTTTCGTTCTTCTAGAGGTCACTTAATTCCTGTTGGTGTTTCTTTGTAAGTAGGCTGTTTTGACAGGATGTGTTTTGTTCTTAAACTGGTTGCAGGAATCGATTAGGGTACTTTTAAGTCTTTCTAGCTCATATTTGGATGAAGCAGTTAGGTCGTTTGTCTGGGCAAATAGGTTTTCAAATTGTACATCAGTCTCTAAATGATTAAATAGATAGTTTTTCTGATCCATCAAGCCGTCGACTAAAGCAATATATCTAGGAAAGATAAACACTTATATTCCCCTCCTACAGACGTTTATCTTTCCTAGATATATCGCTCAGTCGACGGCTTGATGGATCAGTAAAACTGTCTATTTATAGAAAACCTGCTTGGATAGGATAATATCTTAATTACCACAATTTCTGCCCTGTTCGGTACAATGGTGAGCGAGGTGCCTCTTCAGTAGAATCCAACAAATATGGTCTGAAGACACACTTGATGAGAAAGAAAGTTGACACAAACTCTGGTTGATAATAATTATCCAGACAAGTTCATCAGGAGATATAAAGTAGGCAGAATACCAAGACCCATTATCCAACTCACCGCTAAGAAAGACGTGTGCCATATGTAGGGATCATAGCAGCTTGAAAACTAGACAAAGATTGAACGCTGCTGTTAAAAAGGCTTTTTGTGCAGCCAAGATCATAATAGTTGAGAATGTGAAGCCAATATATCCATCAAAGCCCCTTTAACATGCGAGAAATCATGTCACATTCCACTGTATTTACCAATTTGAATTTATGCGTGGACACACTAATAAACAGGGAGGACTCATCGATCTCTGCAAGTAAGAGCTGACTTCAGAGCATATTCTTAAATGACTCTAGAAACAAACAGAATCCCCAGAAGCTATTATTGGTGAGAACAGACGACGACCTAGCTCATCTATTACGAAACATATCACAGAGGAGACAGGACATACAATTGATGTTTAAAACTCTTTTAAACCTATCTACAGAACGTGTTCGGGGGAGGGCGTATCCTAAATTTCGTGGAAGAGCTAGCAGTTAGGAAGTTTAGACCACCTTTATGCGTTCAAAGCAACAATTTGTCATCACACTAAACCTGCCGTCCTTGGCAAACTTTGTTTTGATACTAGTCAGGGTAGATGTACTATTACCTCTATTATTTGGTTTAGTGATCCTCATTGTTATTTTGACTTTCAGTATGTCCTTTTAAGTTGACCTAAGTCTATTTTCTCACCTCTTAACTCTTTATTAATTTCATATATATGTATATATATATATATATATATATATGTTCTTGCAGGTCCTACCATGTCAGGAAGATTGTTTGGATAGCGGTTAGACTAAAAGCAGTTACTATACTAGGCTACATGGGCTCCAGAATCCAATCGGATCGAATGGCGTATGAACCTCTATTGGTTATCAGCAACCATGGGAACGCGACTTTTGACCCTGCTCCGCTGCCTTTGCGGATTAGTTTCCAAGTCAAAGGCTCGGGTTGGGGGTGGTCCTTTAACACAACCACCTGCTTCGGTTTTGGCGCCCGGGCAGTATCTCAGCCCTCACACACAATTAACATACAAGAATAGGTCGGTACCGAGTATTTGATTTCTAACTAGATAACATTTGTAAGGCAGGGTGATTGATGCGCTGTAGGATTTTCCGAGTTGTCTGCTCAGTTTTCGGTTTACCCTAAACTAAAATTTATGCGACCGTCAAAATCAGCCATTGCTCTTCTGTTCGGTTTAAGTGTTATTCTAAAATTTAATGCTGTATTGAGATTGTCATAGTTTGTGTTTTTTCCTCTGAGTATTTGATTGGTTTATTATATCTCCTGTGATTTTATTAATGTCACAGTTTATCCTTGCATTGTTTATTTGACTAGCATGGGAAAGGTCATGGATATAATAATATGCATGGATGGGGTACAGGGGTTAGACCAGGCGACTACAACCATTCAATGAAACATCAATACCCAAATCAGCCTGGAATGTTTCCCCAACAGCAACCTGGAGTCTATCCTGCTCCTGGAATGTCATCTCAACAACCTGGAGCATATCCTCAGCCTGGAATGTTTCCCCAACAGCAACCTGGAGTCTATCCTGCTCCTGGAATGTCATCTCAACAACCTGGAGCATATCCTCAGCCTGGTATGTTTCCCCAACAACCTCCAGCCTATTCTCAACCTGGAAGTATGCCTGGAGCGAATGCGTTTCATCAACCGGGTAATCCGCATAATCAGCCTTATCCTCCATAATTATTTATATGGTTGCAACATGTAAGTTATATACGCGTTTATAGATACTGAACTAAGCACACTTAATGTCTTTTAACTCGTATATTCCCCAGTTCTTCGGCAATAATATTTGTTCCCAAGTGACTGATCGTGTAATACTTATCTGATCAGATCGATAATTTGGGCATTGACGTGCTACTAGACATTGATTTAGAGTTTACAGACGACATTATTGTCCTTCTAGGCAAAGATAGTGACAAAATGTGACGTCTTAACAACACACTGAAAGAATATCTGAGTATGTGTAGATTGCAGTTCCCTTCTATCGAATATAACATTGTGCTTTAAGACTGGCTCACGTTGTCTCCCAATGAGGTGTCTATCGCTGTAGTCTCTGAAAGCATACAGAAGACGTGTTTATCACTCGCCAACTTGTAACATCTGACACTTGTACTGTGCCACCAGTTTGATCATCTTCTTTCCTCCGGCCTTTGTTCTATTTCCTGTCTTAGGTAAAGCAAAATGGTAAGTTGAGTTTTAGGCATAGAGTGTGTGAGTCAGTGTACGTCGACGTTTTGAGGCTACATCTCTTGAGCTGGCTAGTAAAGAGTGTTATGCCTTCCAAACCATTGTGTCTCTGGAGAAGTATTGTTAGTCGAAATACAATCAATTAGATTTAGATTTGAAGTAAGGTGAGAACGATTTCAGACAAAAATATACACCATCACCATGCATGATTTCGTCATTGGACATTGTAAATGATTCACTTAAGAGGGTGGTGCGCATAACCCGTCCTAGTGTCTTCGAAACGAAACGCTAAGAACTACGATAGTTGTGGAGATTTTCGGTAACAATGTCACAGCAGATGTATACATTCCTTGTTATCGTTCAGACTGTGAAACTCTCTAGCGTATATTTTCGTCTATTATTATTCCCTTATGTTCCTAGTGGAACATAACACATCATCACCTTCTTTCATTTCCTACCATCCTCTCCAGCTGGGTCCACGATTGCCCATAATCTCTCATCTCTTCCTCACCCGATCTCTTCCATGTCACCCTCGCACCAACGAACCACTCGTTGCTTCCCATTGGTTCTTCCACTCAAGTGATGGATGGCCTGCATTGCGCGCGATGTCATTCGACGGTCTCCTCAATGTTTGTCCGATCCATTTCCATTTTCTCCCACATATTTGTTGAGCCATCGGCTCTCGCCTGTTGGTTTGTTCCACTGCAGAGTTTCTTGTTACTTATTCTTTCTAGCCATTTGATCTTCAGTATGAAACTAGAGTAGGCAGCTGTTGACAAAGGTCTGCAACCAGCTGTTGGAAATCCTTTTCGTGACGCACTGTCCAAGTTTCTGACCTCTATAGAAGGTCTGGGTTGACATTGGTGTTGAAAATCCGGATGTTGTTGTTTATGCTGCTGAGTTATTGCAGAAGATTTCCAAGCTGGTTTCAGCCTTCCCGATTCTGACTGGCTTTGACATCCTCATCCGTGCCATCCGCCTGTAGTTGAAACGATGCTGGTTGCCTAGATAAGTGAAGGAGGTAACCTTTGTCAAGTGTCTCCCGATGATGGTGATTGGTGCTTGTTGTTGTTGTTACTGTTCTTTGGTTATCTTCATCACCTCCGTCTTCTCTATGTCCACCTGCAGTCCTGGCTGTTGTGTATTGTTCTATATTACTGCTTTTCTGTTCGTTTCTTATTTTTTTTTACTCTTCTCATTTGAAATTTTTGTTACTAAGGCCGCTAAATAAACGACTATAAGTGTGTATTGTTGTGTATTGCCTTAAATGATGACAGTGATGTAAACAACTTACAGTTAACAGAGTGATACTCATACAGTTAAGAAAACTAATTTTGTATTTATATATCAAACTCATGATATCAAACAGACCCCATGAAAGTGTTTAAACTTGTGTGATCTATCATTCTACCCATAGATGGTGATCAGTCATGAGTCGTTGGGACACATGGGTCTATTCTCAAGCTAAAAAAATGTAAGGCTGAATTACAGCTAGAGGTATATGATGTTCCCCTCATCAAAATATTCTACCCGAGGATGTAGACTTATACATTCACAGATTCACCTAGATCACGAAATAAACTTGCTTAGAAGAAATATCGAGATATGTGGAAAGGAAGGATCAAATTTTGATTAGTCATCGGATGAAGCGGTTGCCATGTTTCAGATTGTTGTAGTTTGTTGCACATGTTCTGACTGACTGATTGACTTATTTTCAACACAGAAGCTTTCACGGAAGATAAGGAGAATGTTAACTTTGTGAAGGATTTTTGAAAGACAATTGAAACCTCCATTTGGTGGTGATGTATGCACAACTTGAGCATCTTGTTATTCGTGGTGTTGTAATCCTCTATTTGACTGGCTTTTCGAGTTTTCCAACGGGGATTATGTTGCACTCTTGTAAGCTGATGCGATGGAAAGTATGATGAGGTGAAGGTGTCTGTCGAATATGCTGCTTGCGTTATTGTCAGTGTGTGTGTGTGTATGTGTTTCCACATATCATTTTTGCCTATCTGGAAGGGAATTGATTTTCACCACGTTTGAATGTTTCTGTGTCGCATATTTTCTTCAGTCTGTTGTATACCGGTTCTTCTTTATCATTAACGTATTTGTAGTGTAACAGCAGACGGCAAGATAAGGAAGCGAAGGTATATTTTCAAATGATCAAACAGCTATTTATATGTATACAGTTTATATTCTTTAACCCATCACTGAGCGTGTAATTTTAGTGTCCATTAAACGACATGAAATAGAATGTTCAAATATGCATATTTAGTATTCTGTTGCTAATGCGCTGTTGAACTGTGCGAATAGTATATGTGAGAATAATATTCCGTTGGAACCCATTGTCGGTATCACACACCACCACACTCGCCCTCCCTCCACCGTCAAATACTTTAGACTGAAATTGGTCCCATCTTCTTGGTGCTGGCGTCTTTGTTTGCTTGTCGTGCTATATCCAGCTCCGAAGCTCACTGACGTTCACCTGCCTCTCTTCGTTTGCACTTCGGATGGTATATACTTGACCCCGTCTCGCGGTGACCGTGCTTGGTCCTTCCCACTTTGGAAGCAGTTTGCGTGACCCTGGCTGGCTGGCGCGTATTCGCCGGTGTTTCGCCTGACACTATTGTATGCTGCCTTCACCCGACCTCTCCTCTCAGCAGCAGTGTTCTAAGTAAAAGCCTTTTCGTTAACTGATGTTGAAAGCCATTTAACTCTGCAACAGCTTGAATTCCTGCAAGAAGATGCATATTTCTTCTTCTTCTTCTTCAGAAACTGCAGGGCATAGGCCTTTCATTTGTTGACAGGCAGCGACACCAAGTTTGTATGTAACAGCAGAAGGCAAGACACGGGAGCGAAGGTAGTGAAGTGTGAGAGTAGTATTCTGAATCTAGCAACAAATAGAATGTGCAAATACACGCATATAGTATTCTGTTGCTACTGCAGTATTGTACTGTTGGAAGCGTTGTATTCAGACGTTAACATCAACACAAATACAATGATTCTTACTGTGATAATAATATTCCGTTGGGACCCATTGTTGTCTGTATCACACACCACCAGAGTAGTTTGTTTGCTAATTATTATTTTTTGTTTATATGATTATGTCATTTGAGCTGAGGAGGTTTAGCTTTTCCTTGGAGTTAATGTTTTCGGATGATGAAGATATATATATATATATATGTATGTATATATATATATATATATATGAGAGATGAGATGAGAGCAAAAATAAGGATGGGGACGTGGAATGTTCGTACAATGTACGAAGCTGGGAAGGCTGCTCAGGTAGCCGCAGAAATGAGGAGATATAAAATAGAAGTGTTGGGAATCTGCGAGGGCAGATGGAACGGATGTGGAAGGAGCCAACTATCAACTGGAGAGACAATAATCTACTCCGGTCACCCAGAGGACGAGCACGAGCACACCGAGGGAGTAGCCATCATGATGTCACCAACAGCGGCTAAAGCTCTCATGCAGTGGGAACCAATCTCCTCCAGGATAATGACAGCCAGGTTCAACTCAAAAGGAAAAAAGGTTACAATCATTCAATGCTACGCGCCTACAAACGTCTCAGAACATGAGAAGAAGGAGGATTTCTACAGCCAACTACAAACAGTAATGGACAACGTCCCAAAGAGCGATATCAAAATCCTGATGGGCGACATGAATGCGAAACTGGGAGGAGACAATACAGGAAGAGAACTCACCATGGGTCGTGAGGCCCTCGGTGAAATGAACGAAAATGGCGAACTCTTCTCAGACTTCTGCGCCTTCAATGATTTGGTGATTGGTGGCAGTGTGTTCAAACACAAGGATATACACAAGGCGACATGGATTTCACCAGATGCACACCAAAAACCAGATAGACTTCATTTTAATCTCAAGGAAGTGCAGACGGAGCCTACTGGACACAAGATCGAGGAGAGGAGCAGATGTGGGTTCAGACCACTATCTAGTACAAGGGACTTTCAAGGTGAAGCTAAAAGCCTCGAGGATACCTGGGGATAGGCCACAATGCAAGTTCAACACGCAAAAACTGAAGGACACAACCACAAAGGACAGTTTCACTGCAACTGTCAGAGCAAAGCAGGAAACACTACGTGGCACCACTGAGGAATCATCCGTGGAAGACCATTGGAACTCTTTGAAGGTAATTTTCAACGAAACGTGCTCAACGGTTTTAGGAAGAAAGAAGAAACAAGACAAGGAATGGCTCTCAACAGACACTTGGAAACTAATAGAGGAGAGGAGAAAGGTGAAAGAGAAAATGATTCAATGCAAAGATGGACAAGAGAAAGAGACGCTGAACTCAACTTACACAGCACTGGACAAAGAAGTGAAGAAGAGTGCCAGGAAGGACAAAAGACAATTCTACGACAACCTGGCTACTGAATCTGAGAAGGCAGCAGGCAAAAGGGACCTGAGGACACTATATCAGATAACCAAGTCTCTATCCGGGAAGAGATCAACACAAGTGAAACCTATAAAAGACAGCCAAGGGAACCCAATTACCAAAGAAGAAAGACAGATTAAACAATGGGCGGACCACTTCAAAGGACTCTTGAATCGACCACCACCTACAACCCGTCCAGTAATACCAACAACAGCACGTATACAACTGCAAGTTGACACCAATCCTCCAACGAAAACTGAAGTCATGAATGCAGTCAAGCTTCTGAAAGCTGGAAAAGCAGCTGGACCAGATGGAATACCCCCGGAAGCACTGAAAGCGGACAGCAGATATGCTGACTCCATTATTGCAAAAGATCTGGAAAGAGGGAAAGGTGCCTACTGACTGGAGGAAAGGTTACCTGGTGAAACTACCAAAGAAGGGCGACCTGGGACTCTGCAAGAACTGGCGAGGTATCATGCTCCTGTCGACGCCAAGTAAAATCCTGAGTCGCATCATCCTGGAGAGAATCAAGGACGCACTGGATACAGAACTCCGACCAGAACAAGCTGGATTCAGGAAAGGCAAATCATGTTCTGACCAAATTGCAACTCTACGAATCATCATCGAACAAAGCATGGAATGGCAATCAAATCTCTACCTCAACTTCATAGACTTTGAGAAGGCCTTCGACAGCGTTGACCGCGAAGTAATTTGGAAACTACTCGAGTACTACGGCGTGCCCCCAATATTCATCAACCTTATTCAACAACTGTACGACAACGGCACATGTCAAGTGATCCACAACGGAAAACTCACCGAGGCGTTTGGAGTAAACACAGGAGTCAGACAAGGGTGCTTATTATCACCAATGATATTCCTAATTGTGGTGGACTGGATTATGCGTCAGACAGTAAGAAACGAGGAGACAAGGATATCCTGGACCGACGTGAAGAACCTAGAAGACCTGGATTTCGCAGATGATTTATGTTTGATGTCACACAAAATCGAAGACTTACAAGCGAAATCCGACAAACTGGTCGAAGAAGCAGCAAAGACAGGACTCCAGGTGAACATTGACAAGACGGAGGTCATAAAAATAACCAACGAACAACAACAACAACAGCAGCAACATCCAGTGCCAATCACCATCAACGGGAGGGATTTGAAAGAGGTTACTTCTTTCACTTATCTAGGGAGCATTGTCTCAACCACAGGAGGAACGGACGAGGATGTCAAATCGAGAATCAGGAAGGTGAGAAACACATTCATCAACCTGAAACCAATCTGAAAATCTTCGTCACTCACCATCAACAACAAAATTCGGATTTTCAATACAAACGTGAAGTCAGTTTTGCTTTACGGATCAGAAACTTGGCGAGTCACCAAGAATATTTTCAACAGGTTGCAGACCTTTATCAACAACTGTCTTCGCTCCATAGTGAAGATTAGATGGCCGGAAAGAATCACAAACAAGAAGCTATGGGAACAAACAAAACAAGAACCAATCGCTGAACAAATATGCAGGAGGAAGTGCAGATGGATTGGACACTCGCTGAAGAGGCCGTTGAGTGACATCGCGCGTCAGGCAATCGCTCGAGTGGAACCCGAAAGGGAAGCGGCGAGTGGGACGTCCAAGGGTGACATGGAGGAGATCGTGTGAGGAGGAGATGAAACAGTATGGAATAACATGGACGCAAGTGAAAAGTACAGCACAAGACAGAAGCAAGTGGAGGCGTGCAGTTGAAGCCCTATGTTCCACTAGGAACCCAAGGGAACAATAATAATAATATATCAGTGAATGCTGAAAATCAGTTATGTTCAATGACGTATTTTTTTCTTCGTCTAGTTTCCATCAGCTAATAACTGACTATGATGATTGTTACTATCTCTCCCTATGTAGATGCCGAGGACAAACCGCTTTCAAACCTGGCTGTGTATTCTTTGGGCGTTGTTATCCAACTTTCACCTTTGATGAGAACATGTTTTGACTTATGTAGCTTTCTATTTTGAACAACTTCTATTTGCTATTTGTAACCGACACAGTTTTCTTAACTTTTTTTTATCGCTTGCTATATGTATATGACAAAAGGTTCAATACATAAATATATATATATTTTCTTATTAAAGAGCTATAGTACTTTCTGTGTAGAAGATTGGTTACCTTGTTAATTATTTCGGTGAAATACTATGCTCAGTGGTGGTAACGTCTCTGACTCACTGCAGTACTCACTGGGTGATGACGCGGTTTCAAATCTTAGAAGGGACATGACTGACTGACTGGCGTAGACTGACGTAGAACTTTGCACCGATGTGCACATAGCACACAAAGCAAGAGAAGAAAGTAAAAAGAAATGCAAAATAGAGACAGTAAACAGAGATATGAGACAAAATGCGCCGGTCATATCACTAATTGTCTCCAGCCTTCATTGGTTTTTACCTTTCTGAGGTCCCCAACCAGAAAGTCTGCACCTTCTTACGTGGCTTAAACTAGCTGTTGTGGATTTCATTGACTGATGAAGCCATATTGGTTTTGGTTTGACCACCACCACTGGCTAGCTCTTTTCCAACCTGATCCATCCAATGTCAGTCAGCTAACATTGCCCATTCTCGAGGAAGGCGATGGCTAGTCATGCATGTGTAATACATGTCCTAACCATCTCAGTCGATGTAACTTCACAACCTCGTCTATTGATTTCCCCTCACCTATCACTCGACTTATGCCTAACCTCAATATTGCTCACCCTATTATACTACTTCACACGGGAGATAGGACGCAGGCAACTATGATCATAGATAGCTAGCTAGTCGGCCTTTTCATGTCTTCCACTCTCAATGACCAGGTCTCACAGCCATAAAAGAGAAGGGAGATGAGTTGTACCTTCATTGTGGTTGCAGATACACGCCTTGCTGACTGACTGGTGAGTGCCAGCTAGCAGGAAACCTAGGTCAGGCAAGGCTTCCTGTAGCCGACTGCCTCCAACCATCTAACGTCTACAATTCAAAGTGCACTATGATGGTGAGCTACCTAGTGGCATGATAGCCACATTGCCATTCTGACTGACTGACTGACTGACGGAATTCAGCCTGCACCAAAGAATGGACTAACCAGGCACATTACACTAGTTACTGATTAGTGTCTAATGACATGTGCAGTTCCATATGAATTCAATGGATTCAGATGTACAATTGATAATTTGACGTGTAGTAACTCTGACATTTCGTGAAACTTTGAGAAGTGTTACTGTATTATCGGAGCGCATAAAAATAACATGTCGCTTATGTTGTTGTTGTTGTAAAAATTTGAATTGAGTTTTACAAAATATCCTGCTGATGATAAATAGACCATGGCCAGCACGAAATTCGTTTAGATAACTTACTTGAATACAAACAAGTGTGGTGAAGATACATAATTTTCTAATGGAAAGAGTTATCATCAACAATGGAATAAAAATCTGGGCTGTGGAAGGATTTGAAACAGCAGTACTTGGATTACTATTTTAGCTGTATATCAGCTTCGCTGCAACATCAGCTCAGCTTTCATTCATATAAGTGATATTCAACTGTCTATTTATAATTAGGACAAGACATATAGGCAGGCGGACAGTATGCTTTTCAGTTAGATCTTCAAGCTTTGCTCTAAGGTACACAGCTTTCTTTTAAACCTACTAGAAGTAACACTTCATGATTGTATGGTTTACGCAAAGTGTATAAATGAGGATTTCCTTTCCGCTTAGTCCTAGACATGTCTAATTCCACCTAACTTGGAGTGGCTAGGTGAACTCCTTCAACCACTACACAAGAAATCGGTAATCATAATGTGTAGAACTTCTTTGAATACATTTCCAAAGTAAACGATGCCTATGTAGGTGAGAATGAAGTGGTTTCCTTAGATGTCGCATCACCGTCCACCAATGCACCACACTATGGAATTCATATGCCAACAAATACTAGAAAAACAGTTCAATATCTGAATCCCAATTATTCGTTTCAAAGAGCTACTTCTTTTATGCACTATGAATGTACACTTCACATTCAACATTCGCTTTATTACAGACAAATCGACGGTATTGTCATGAGCTCTCCAATCGGTCCAATTGTGACATATTCCTTACCTGTTAAGCTTCAAAATGGTCCATTGAAGCAATGGATTTTTACTATCGGTATGTTCATGATACGTTTATTATTCTTGATTAGAAAGCCGACAAGAACGAAATGAGGCACACCCATGTTCACTTGTAAAGAGGAACATGATGGAAGATTAGACTTCCTTGATGTCCAGTTGAGCAGAAGAGAGAAGATGATTCACTCAAGAGAGATGTCTATGCATAAAACCCACATCTGTAGGGCAATATGGACATTTCTTCAATTTTTTGTATCAATCCGATACAAAATCAAGAAGGATCTACACAGATGACTCCCTGGAAAATGAATAAGAATACATCCAAAATACACACGTGTTCAAATGGGTTATCCTGGTACATTTGTAAGGAGACACATGAATAACTGATAACGGTTAAACAGAAACAATTGTTCCTGAGACTGCAATGCGATGAAGACGTGGCTAGTCCAGTCCTCGGCCTAAGATGATCTAGAACATTAAGACGGAATCACACTACCGCCATCCTTTGTTTGTCATTTTCCAGCTGCCGACCAATTATGATTACTCAAGGGAAAGACAGGATTCTTATCTGTATTGCTTCTGTGTGTATTTATAAGTTTGCCTGCTCCTATGGAGAAAGTCGTATAGGGCGAACAACTAGATAGTTCAGCAAACTCACCATTACTGAGCATCTTACTTCATGGTTTGGAAAAAGTTAAATGAAACCTATAACAAGTTATGTTTTGTCTCATTTGATTGATGGTTGCGGTCACCAGATGAGCATAAGAAGTGTCTTCAAGGTTATCTGAAGCATTCCACCTAACGTTTCGAACACAACCGGCCTTTCACGCACAGCTGAAGCAATGCGAAATAATTCGAGAGAACAATCCTAGTCTTTGCATACAAAAGAAGTTTGTTCTACCTTTGTCTCTCGCTTAGCCTAGGTAAATCCTAAATAAAACCTCCAACCCTTTCTTATTCTTCATTTCTTTCGCACTTTTATGAAATTTATTCAAACTCTGATTATCTATCCACTTCATCTTAAGTGTATTGTGTAACTTTTAAGGCTTGACCTAATTTATTTATTGATTTATTGAATCATCTACATATACACACATATTACTGTCTTGGTTATTCTTATCACCACGTGCATAAATTCTTTGTACTTTTTTTAGTATACCATTAATCTTATGATCATTATTATTTTTGCTGTCATTATAATCATCATTATTACTGAAGTTTAAAACATTTAACATATTGTTATTATTATTTGATCCACAAACTCACCGTCATGGGATAGAACTGTCATATGTAGAGAGTTTGGTACATCAGAGTAAAACTTCAAACAGTTCTTCCCATTAATAAATTTGCATAAAGCAAGAACGACAAACGTGTCAGGATATTATTATTATTGTTTCCTTTATTTCCTACAGGAAAATAAGACTTTAGCGCACGTCTCCTTTGCGTTCGGCGTTCTCCGCCAACGTTTTCACCTGGTTCCACGTCTGCCCACATGTTTTCATCTCCTCTGTCGGTCGGTCGGTTTTCGACATAGAACTTTGCACATATGTGCGGCAGTTCAAGTCGCCACACTCCATATAGCCCACAAAGCAAGAGAAGAAAGTAGAAGAAATGCATAATATAGTCAGTAAACAGAAGTGTGAGACAAAGGAATAGTAATAACGGAGAACAAAACAGTTTAATTGGAAATCATAAGTCACAAGGAGTGGATGCATCTGCGCCACTGAGAACGATTTTGAGCCATGTCACCAATTGTTTCCAACCATTGGTTTTTACCGTCCCGAGGACCCCAACCAGGAAGTCTACATCTTCCTACGTGGCTTAAGCTAACTGTTGTGGATTTCATTGACTGGTGCCATATTTTTGTTTGACCACCATTGGCTAGCTCTTTTCCAGCCTGGCCCTATATCAGCTAACATTGCCCATCGAGGAAGGCGATGACTAGGCATACGTAACACATGTCCTAACCATCTCAGTCGATGTAATTTCACAGTCTCGTCGACTGATTTCCCCGCCTTACCTAGCACTCGACGCCTAACCTCAATATTGCTCACCTTATTATACCACTTCACGCGGGAGATAGAACGCAGACACCTATGATCGAAGACAGCTAATCTTTTCATGTCTTCCGCTCTCAATGGCCAGGTCTCACAGCCATAAAGGAGGACGGAGTGGACTGATGAGCAGTACACACGCCCTTTGGTCGATAGTCGGATATCACGTCTACGCCAGAGACGGCGTAAACTGGTATATGCGAAACTAGCCCTCTGTATTCGTGCTGAGATTTCGTCAGAGATCAACCCGTTGGGGCTGATGGTACTTCCCAAATAAGTGAAGCGGTCAACGTGCTCTACCACTTCACTTCCTATTTCTAATCTAGGGGTCGGTGAAGTCCAATCCTGCAGCATCATCTTACATTTTACAGGGGTGAATCGCATGCCAAACATACGAAGATTGTTGCTCAAGGTGTTCAGTAGACTCTGCATTTTGTCAGCGTCCTCGCCTAGAAGGACTATATCGTCCGCATATTCTAAGTCGACGAGATTATTCCCTGGTAGCAAGTCAATCCGTGAGTCGCTAAAGTGTGTTAGGGTTAAGTCATTAGTACGTCTATGATGAAGTTGAATAGGAATGGGGATAATGGGCATCCTTGACGGACGCCACTAGTCGTCACCACTTCAGATGACAACTCGCCATAAGCCCTCACCTGGCTGCATGAGTACGAGTAGAGTGCCTTAGTCAGTGCATCACCTCCTCCCCTCCTAGATGTCACCCTCACACTGATGACCAACTAACTAGCCGCTTCCCTCCCATTCGGGTCCTACTCGAGAGAGAGAGACAGCCTGGCGTATGATGTCATTCACTCGATGGTTTGTTGTTTCAGAGTATG